ACTAAACGCTTGAAATATGTCTCACTCTACATTAATTTATTAGCAACCAAAATATCAATTTATAAAATTGAGAATGGAAATGGGGAATGTGTCAAAGAGACAACAACCCGACCATAGAGCAGACAACCGCCGAATGCCACCAATGGGTCTTCAATGCAGCGAGAAACTCCCGCACTCGGAGACGTCCTTCAGCTGGCCCCTAAACAAATATGTATACTAGTTCAGTGATAATGGACGTCATACTAAACTCCAAATTATACACAAGAAACTAAAATTAAAAATGATACAAGACTAACAAAAGCCAGAGGCTCCTGACTTGGGACATGCAGGCGCAAAATGCGGCGGGGTTAAACATATTTTTTGAGATCTCAACCCCCCCCCCCCCCCCCATACCTCTAGCCCATGTAGAAAAACAAACGTACAACAGTACGCACAGTAAAACTCAGTTTAAGAGAAGTCCGAGTCCGATGTCAGAATAGGAAACAAAAGAAAATAAACAAAATGACAATAATACATAAATAACAACAGACTACTAGCAGTTACTGACATGCCAGCTCCAGACCTCAATTAAACTGATTGAAAGATTATGTCTTCATCATATGAATATCAGGCACAATCCCTCCTGTTAGGGGTTTAGTATTATATCATCATAAAATATATGAGAAGAACATAACCCGTGTCATGCCAACAACTGGTTTTAGAATAAATATGTTTAATTCCGATGCAAAGACCCTATAAGTGAAATAATATTAAAGCCAAAATATGCAATCTTTAATGACCTGACAACAGTTTCGTAACTATATCCCTTCTTAATAAGTCTGTTTAAAGGTTTTGTTAGCTTTTGAGGTGAATACTGACATTTTTGTGCTTTGTAAAGAATATTACCATAAAAGATTGGATGTGAAATACCCGAACGTATAAGATGTCTGCATGTTGAGTTATATTTACGAATGATGTCCTTATACCGATGATAAAATTTAGTAAATGTTTTGACTAGTTTATGATATTGAAAACCCTGGTGTAATAATTTTTCAGTAATACATAAATTTCTCTCGCTAAAATCTAATACGTTGTTACATACACGAGCGAATCGTACAAGTTGAGATATATTAACACCATAAGATGGTGACAAGGAAAGTCACCATCTAAAAATGGATAATTAACGATAGGACATGAAAAATCATCTCTTTTATCATAAATTTTTGTATTAAGCTTCCCGCTAATGATATAGATATCAAGATCGAGGAAAGGACAGTGGTCATTGTTAGTATTAGCTTTATTTAAAGTAAGTTCAACAGGATAAATTTCTTTAGTATACACACTGAAGTCGTCATTATTGAGAGCCAATATATCATCCAAATATCTAAAAGTATTGTTAAATTTTTGTATCAGATGTTGTTTCGATGGGTCTTTGCTGATTTTAGTCATAAATTGTAACTCATAACAATACAAAAACAGGTCCGCAATAAGTGGTGCACATTTAGTGCATTAAGGCGACCGAAAACTTATCTCCGTTCAACCATGGTACAGGACAGACTATCTTCGTTGGCGCTCATACATGTTCACAAAGAAATGGATATTAATAACACCGAGAGAGTTCTGCGATCATTTGCCTTTGCAAAAAATAGATATATGGACTTTCGATATTAACTATACTTTAAGTCTTACATGCAGTATTAACATTTAATAATACAGGCTCAATACAATCACCTTGAAAACATCTTAGATTTATATCCCTTTCTTATAAGTCAAGACTTAAAAGTGGCCGTTAGATTTCGTATTCCCATTGTCCGTTCGTCCAAAAGACTATTGATTCACCTGGGGTATCTGTGTCCCAAATGACCTTCTACCGTTGTCGTAGAAACCTCTCCTTTGATTTGAGAATGACCTTCGTGAGACACACTACGGGTGTCTTGCAAGAAGCAGGAACTGCTTACCCTTTTGGCCGGAGCACCGGAGGTCGCCACATTGTTTTCTGGGTCCGTGTTTTTCATCTGTATTTAGTTTTCAATGTTGAATGTTTTTGTTTCTCCTTTTGTGTCTTATCTGTTCCCAGGTTTGTCAATTGTCCATTGATTAACGCTTCGGTTGTCGACTCTTCCTGATCTTTCCGTTTTATAATTTTTTTTTATATTTGAAAATAACCATGTTTAATATATAAGCAGCAAATTACGGAACTCACTAGACTTTTACTATCGTTTCATGAAAATATGGTATAGTAAGAAACAGATAGGGTATTTTTCATGTTCAAAGCAGTCACTGTAATTACTCATATGCCCGGAGCTTCATGGGGATTCGCTTCCCTAGACCACCGTCTACGGTGCTGCCCAGAATCCCCGACTAGGGTGCTATCCTTGACCAGCTGGGGACTTTGGGCGGTCAATAGCCTCCTCCCTTGCCGAATCACTATAAAGTCCACAAGTATTCACAAAATAGGAGTTTGGGCGTGAATGTGATGTGAATTTCATAAGCATGGCATACCGGGAAAATGCCCGATCATTTTCTGCATAAAAAGGTCAAAAAATTTTTTTCGCATCGCTTCGCTCGGCGATCGTTATGATTGCACTTTATTTAAGTCCAGCTACGCCCCTGAACAGTAAGCACGAAGTGAGTCGTGGATGATATTACGACACTCATTCCAATTAATAATTGACGGGGGACGATATTTAGGTCCTTTACTGAGGAATGATTTTATACATCTATGACAAACTTTATTTTTTTTATTTTTCAGAATGCAATAATATCCTTTTAATATATGATGTATATAGATAGGATGGGATATGATTGCAAATGAGGCAACTATCCACCAGAGATAAAGATAGACGTTTCCCCGATGGGTTTACACCGAGAGAACGCTATTCTTATGATTGACAATTCTAAACGTGTACCAAAAAGGAGTCCAGATTTGTTAATCAGAGGATGATTCGTTTCCTGAGGAGTTACAGCTGTATGAAACAAATTGACAAATGGTTGTTAATTCTATCTATCTATATGTATAAAAATATAACAAAGTGTTCAGCAGTGTGTTTAAACGTTTTGTTTAAATCATTACCCTATTGGCGTTATTACCTATTTGCAGCCATGCATATTTATACGGTAATAACAGGGTTGCTACCCTCTTTGAAATATAGATTGTCACCATCTTGACTCAATATTTAAATGATGATAATAGTGTTGTTCCACTCGATTTTCTATTTTTGTTCCAATATTTGAATTGTTTTAGTCACGTCACTGTTTTTGACAAATGAAGTCAGATTTATCATAGAAAAATATAACAGAAATTACAGACTCACCTTACAATTTGACCATGCACAATAGAGATTAAAAGATGTATCATGTTTTATGATGTAATAATTATATAAACTCAGAAACGCAATATTATGGCGTGATATGCATACGATTGCTCTGTAACATAAAATAAGATGGGGGGTGGGGGGTGGAGCGGATATATAAGGGATAAATACGAGACCAAAATTCAAAGCCTTTTTTCTTCTTCAGTCTTTTGGAGTTCTAATCTTAAGTGACAGTGTTATGCTATTGTTTTGTGCTTGATGACTGTTTAAGTTTGTTGCTCTCTGTGCTTGATGATTGTTCAAGTTTGTTGCTCTCTGTGCTTGATGATTGTTTAGGTTTGTTGCTCTCTGTGCTTGATGATTGTTTAAGTTTGTTATTCTCTGTGCTTGTTTTATGACCGTTAGGGGTATTTTTTTATACACAATTTCTTTCATTTTCCATTAAAATATCACTGTATAAAGGAGAAGGTTTGACAGGGTCCCTTTTTGGAAAAAACAAAAAGTATTAAAAATCTACAAAACAACATCCTTCCGGTGTTCACAAGGTGCTCACAAGACTTTCAAACATGCGTAATCATATTTTTGAATTTGTCTTAAATATTTGTATTATGGCTTTAACTTCTTGCATTTAGTGCAAAACTGCAAAAAAAAAAAAAAAAAAAAATGCAAAAAAAACCGGTCAAAATAACCTCATTTTGAAATCTTTTCATTTACCAAGGCTTCACAAAAAAAAAAAAAAAAATAGCGACAAGATGTTTTATATAAAGATGTTAATGTTTTTAAAATATTTTTCGGGGTACTAAGGTCTTCTTGACCTAATCGATTGTGTCCAATTACCTTTTTAGGTCATATATGTAAATTTCGACATGTTTATGACATCATAGTAACATCACAATTGACATTTCTGCACTACAGTATCAAGATTATATAATCCAGTTCATTTACCAATACATTTAAAACAATTTTGAGAGGCTTAAATAATTCATCTAATTTTTGCAATTCTAGCGGCCAAAAAATGTTTCTCATCAATCCTTTGGTGCATCCGAAGGGCTTTTCTGGATTAATCTTCATGACTCAGGAATGATCAATCTCAAGCATGTGAATTCCAAGAATATAGGGCCTATACATACGTAAATACTTGAAGAACTTTATGACCAAATAACCAAATCCACCTAAAGTCAACCTTGAATGAGGAAGTTCTAACCTTAGTTTCTTTAATATCTTAATTTATTAACGGGGAATATAAGTCTGGTATGTTACAAATCATGTCGATCAGTACCGAAGCACTGACAACTGAGCAAATAATACCCTTGGGAACATGAAAATAACACTTTTTAATGCATCCGAATCGCTTTTACGGATTTATCATCACTGGTGATCTCAAACCAAAAATATTAAAGCAACATATGTATATAGATATATGGTACATTTTATTAGTGCCAATGAGACAACTCTCCATCCAAGTCACAATTTGTTAAGTAAACCATTATAGGTCAAAATACGGTCTTCAACACGGAGCCTTGGCTCACACCGCCCATCAAGCTATAAAGAGCCCCAAAAATTACTAGTGTAAAACCATTTAAACGGGAAAACCAACGGTCTAATCTATATAAAAAACGAGAAACGAGAAACACTAATGAACCACATCATCAAACGACAACTACTGAACATCAGATTCCTGACTTAAGACAGGTGCAAACAAATGCAGCGAGTTTAAACGTTTTAATGGTACCAAACCTTCACCCTTATCTGAAACAATAGTGTAACATCACAACATAGAAAGACACACTATAAAATTTCAATTGAAATGGCTTAACTCAATCAAAAGACATATTAACACAAGTGAACATACACTGAAGGAATAAATTTGATCTATGATACAATGTAAATACAAAATCAATAAAATAAGGGATGAATAATTAAAGTAACAGTATTATACCGCTGTGAAATGTTAAACAATTTCAGAAAAACAACAATAACCTTAAACAAAAATCCGCCATTTACAATAATATTATACACAGGTAAATGAAAATAATTTTGTTGTTAGGTATACAGTTGATAAGGGGAAAGGAAATATTTTTACAAAATAGATAATTTTGATGTTCATAGTTCTAAGAAGTGAAAATTTATAGTAATACCAAACACTTATCAAAGCTGGTATATAGACCAGATATAACCCTGAATAAGTAAACATAAAATAACAAAAAAGCATTACAAATAGTATCAACAAGTCAAATTAACAAGAATGTACGATTTGAGAGTACTCTCAGTTACTGACAGCTAGCTAGAAGCCAAAAACAATTAATGATAAAAAAAATCATGCATCAGAGACTAAAATCAACTAAACCACATCCCAGGGATTTAGTATTTTAACGTCATGGCATCAGAGACTAAAATCAACTAAACCACATCCCAGGGATTTAGTATTTTAACGTCATGGACAGTCAAAGAAGACATGACTTGTGCAATGCCAAAAATAAATGTATCGACAGGCAGTAGGGTAGTTAGGAGTTAACCTCTTAATAGATAAAGATGAACGTGGGTGTGTCTTTATACATCCCGTTTGAAAAGAATACATATTTAGTTAAGTTTTAATTTTCTGATGACAAAATCGACATTAGTGCCAATGTAAACTATATTCAAAGATCTAATTACAACATTGGTAAGATAACCTTTACTAATAAGTTTGTTTAAAGGTTCGATGAGTTTACACGGATCACATAGTGATTTCCGCGCTTTTAGTACAATATTACCGTAGAATTTAGGATGTGAAATACCGTTTTTAATAAGTTTTCTACAGGTACAGCGAAATTTACTAATCAAATCTTAGTATCTATGAAAGAATTTAGTAAAAGTTTTAAGCAATTTATGGTAAAGAAATCCCTGACTTAATAATTTACCAGTGATGCATTGATTACGTTCGTTAAAATTTATGACATCACTACACACACGGGCATAACAAACGAGTTGGGAAATATAAACACCGTATGATGGAGCCAAAGTAACAGCGCCGTCTAAAAAGGGAAAATTAACAATAGGGAATGAAAAATCGTCTCTTTTGTCGTAAATTTTAGTATGGAGTTTCCCTTTAGAAATTGAAATGTCTACATCTAGAAAAGGACCTACTACATGTCGATACACTGTATCGCCGAAACGCACATATATGTTGTCCAGTAGAAAATTTAAAGCTTCAATCATATCTTCACATTTCCAGTAAGTGTATCTAGCATACTTTCCTTTTTCGTTACAGAAAAAGGCTTTAAACGAGTTACAGCAAATAAATTTGCAACGAGATTTCTCAAAAGACCATTCAATTAAATATGAAAACTTTTTCTTGATAAGATTGTGTGGAAGTGTAGTGTAGAGAGTAGAAACATCATAAATGTCAACAGAATTAAAAGGACCATCAAAAGCACGTATTTTATCCACAACCTCTAAAGAATTTTTAACACTCCAAAAATAATTAATACCATTATTTTCATAAGCTTTATTACAAAAGTTAATAACAAGTTCTTTGATAGTAGTAAGGGAGGTAGTTAGAAGCACTGATAGATTAGTAGTAGAACACTTACTAGATGCGGAGTTGAAACGGAATTTAAATGTTTTTTTGTGCAATTTAGGTAACCAGTACATAGTAGGGACTTTCAAATGTTCGGAAGAGGCTTTAAACTGGGTAGTGGCAGTGATTTGCTTGTTTACAATTTGACTCTCTGTGGATTGTACGGACCTAAATGTAGAAGAATTGATAATTTCGTTTTGGAGAACTTCCGTGTAGTATATGCGTCACACCACCACTACATTATTGGCTGCTTTGTCTGCCGGTACGAATACAAACCGCTTTCCGAGTACTTGGGAGTTTATTTTTTATTCTAGAAATGGGAATATCATGGACCTTATTATTAATTTCAGAATTGTTTTCAAAATGAGATATACAAATACTAACAGTATTCATAATTTTATTCAAATAACTGTCTAGAGATTTTTTATCAGATTGTTCACGTTTCCACTAACTTTTACAGTAGGCAGACAGAGCGTCTTTAATGACCTGACGACACTGTTTCCAATCTATAATAGATGGTGGACGATATTTCGGTTCTTTCTTAAGAAAAGTTTTGACCTCACGGTCTTCGACGATGTTGAGGTCTCCTGTAATGACATGACCATAGAAAACATATCTAAAACTAGATGTTTCACAGTCTCAAGTGGAAGGAACATTATTTTCTATGTTGATGTTTTTTTTAATAAGAATACGAAATAATAGGTGGTTCTATATTATCAAAATATGGAGGTATTTAGCTTTGGATGGTAAAGTCATGGAATATACTAGATAAGTTGATAAAATCAATACCTCTATTTATATATTCTAATTTAAGAAAATGACGTTTATGATTTTCATCGATACTAGGAAACCGCATGTGATGACAAAAGTTGTAATAATACGGGTGTATTCATACAACGGGCTAAAAAAAGAAATTTTATCACACTCCAGAAAACTAGCATATTATTTACTTATTGGTATCTGACCCAGTTTGCATAATACTTGATGTCTGCCATTATTTATTATTATAGATAACAGATCAGCAAGTGTATAATTTATACGATGTTTAATACGTTGATTACGGTTTTTCCTTTTACCATGAGACCTATTATTTCTAAGTCATTTATCGACAATATTAATGACATCGATAGAAGTTTTAGTTATGTTCCCCTGTCCTAATATTTTGTCATTGAGACCGAGAGGATACACACTTAAAAAAAATCATTAATTGACATTCTTTTTAGACACTCCGTAAGTTTTGTTTATAAACGTTAGGACTGTACCACTAAAGTTATTATTTACAATAACAATATGGTTTTAAATCCCTATCATCAATACAAGCAGACTGATTCCCGTATCTATTTGATCGGATTATTTTATCTAAGATAATAAAGTTGTTCGTTTGAGTGATCTCTGTAGTGACTTCAAATATTCCCTCGCTTGGCATCACTTCAAATAAAATAAAATAGCGTTGCTTCTTGTCTAACTTGGGTTTGTACAAATATTGCCATATAGCTTTCTTCCTTCCTGGTTTTGAGTGTTTTAGATTAGAATGAATTAATTTGGCTTCATGAATCTTTTTCAAGGTAAGTAAAGCACATTTTGATCGATGAGTTTGTAAATAGGTGTTAATGGTTACTACAACGGAACTAGTAATCTTTTCAATAACGGCATTATTTGTAGGAATAGCTTCCGATGTATAGCAGGCACAGCTTGATTCAGGAATATGTGCATCGGCACAAGTCCTGTCTTTCGGAATTTCATTGAATAAACTAATTCCTCGATTTTGAATAGCTTCGGTATCCTTTGGGTGATGGTTGTACCTATTGGTAGCTATATCAATTAAGGTTTTATGGAGATCCAATGGAGACGTCAGACGATTGATATTAGTTTGTAAGTTTTGATCTAAATGAGGATATTTTTGCCTCAAAATTGTAGGCAGAACTATTGAAAAGAAAGGAAGTTTTGCTTCTATACGACCAATCGGTGTATTCCTTATCTTATCTATCATTGTTCCATGGTCACTCATAAAAAACAAAATTGACCTTTTCAAGTGGCCACCTTCTTTCAAAAAGACTAGAAAATTATAAAAATCAGCATCTCCTAACTTCAGAAAGTTCACAAAATCATGTCCTATCTCGTTCAACCAGGACATTGCAAACTTCCTGTTGTTCTTGTACTTATTCAAAAAACGTTTAAAATAATCTATTTGAATGACGTGCTTCGGATTATCGCCATAACAAAGAGCGGATGTACCTCCTAGAGTAATATCCTTATCTTCTAAAGTCATAAATATCTTAGTGATTTTTGCCTGGTATTTTTTCTCGGAGTTTATCCCAAGATAAAATGGTCGTAGGTAATGATCCCCTGGTGATTCATTAAATCCACGAGTTAGATAATTAAACGTTGAAAGCCTAGGATAATCCTCAGAATACATCGTTGCTGCACCTCTTTCTGAAAATTTCTTCCAAACAAACGGTTGATTGTCAAAAAACTTTTTCTTGTTGAATGGTACACTAAAATTTCCTGTTAACAGTGCCATAAGGTTAGGATATGAATTACCGCCTACTTTTGTATAGCCATTAAAAACATAAGCGCCAAGAGTTTTTTCAAGATATTTTAGTGTTTTCGGAAGTTCGCGAATAGCAGCAAGTCTTGACATACTATCTACTCCAAATATCAGAACACTAAAGCTATCATTATCTGACTCAACATATTTTTGTTTTTTCTTTATATGGTAATGTAATCGTTCATAGATATTTTTTCCTTCAAAGACACATACTACCTTTGCAAAATCAGATTCCATCATAGCGCTACGTGACACATTGAACCATACTGAAGTACCAAACAAAATGTCGTCATCGCTTTGTTGTTTTCGAATCACACTTTGATAATAGCATTCAATATGTTTTCCTTTTGTTCGATTTTTGTTTATGTGTATCATCTCATCGTCATCAATATAAACTAATTCAGTGTTTTCGGGACAAACAATAGGATCTGGTTTCCAAAAGAACGGCAATATCGATTCATCGAAAGGATTTACTTTTGGAATTTCACATTTCTCGTTTGTATTGATATGAATAAAATTAAACTGAACCTCGTTTTCTACATGCAACTTGTATCCATATAAAAAAACTAAACAACAAAGCAAAAGAAGCACTTGCTTTCGTCGCGTGCAGAAATTTATCCTCAAAGCCCTCATGGTGTATACGTAAAAACAAAAAACATTCCAGCCTAAAGATGCTTTTCTCTAATTCAACACAAGAACAGGTTTATTCCTCTGAAAAAGAAATGAAAAATGTGAAGATATTCCTTTTTGGATTGAATTTTACTGGATTTTCCCCACATGTTAAACATTAAAGGTTTTATGGGAAGTATAATTAATCATGTATGCACAGTGATGATTTCAATAAAAGGTAAATAAGTGTCGCAATATGTTTTCCTCACTGTTCCAACTCCAGAAATTAGAGATTTACAGAAAGTCTCGGTATCGATTGTTTACAACTTCTTCGACAGGAGAAATGAAGGGGATCGTCTCAAAATTTTAAAAAATGCAGTAAACGATTAGCATTTTAAGGTTCAAGTTGCAAATAGCTGTTAGAAAAAAACAATAAACTGTTAAATACAATTTCACGAATCGTTTCCCTCTTTTGTTAGCTCATTGGGTCAAAGGTATGCGTGTTATTGTCATGATCACTAGGCATTCGTTGTTGTCCGTTGTCTTTTCGGGCTTAAAAAGTATTTGAACCAAACTTAGTGTATGGGTTATTTAAAATAAAATTCAGTACACCTATGCTAAAATTTGTAATTTTTAATGAAAAACGTAGTTGTCAGTGTTTTAAGGAAAAATTGTAGCATTTATGAGTCTTTAAATTAATAATAAACACGATTTAGATCCATTTATATGAGATAAATTAAAATAACATTATCACTGAGACAAATGGAGTATAGTTATTTCACAACAGCATCAAATAAATATAGAAAATTGTCGATATTGTTACTGCCTATTCTCTTACTATAGTTTAAGTAACAGGATAGACAACATAAAGAGGATGGTTAAAAATAGTAACTTTTATTCAATTTTGCAATTTCGACATTTTTTTTAAAATGACCAACATAGGAATGCTCTTTATCTAGTTCACTACAAAATTTATATCTGACAGCCCTATCTAATTTTTAAAATGGTCATCAAAGCCTTTGAGCGGTCGACTTCTCGTCAAAAACTACGAAATTTAGGTATGAAATTAGATGTTAGAAATGTTTCTGGAATGATCCTCCGCCAAAATTTCAAAGGATTATTTCGACAAATTTATAAACCTGGCTACCATAAGGGGTCATCCATAATTGTCAACTATTTTCCAAAGTGTACAAAACGTACACTTGGGGTAGGGGATTAAAAAATCAACATTTCTACCGTACGCTTTTTTTTTGTTTCCGGAAGTTTTTCGTTTCCGCAGGGTTCGGTATTTTTTTATTACCGCGATGAAGCCATTAGTGATTCGATCGGGGAAGGCTAGTGAGATGGATCATTGTCACAGTGGTAAAATGGACAAACATTTATTTTGAGATAACAAAATCCCTTTGTGAAATATTGCAAATATAACAAAAACAGTGATTTTACAAAATCTGGTTCTACTGGTTTTAATTGGGGTAGTATGATATAAATTTGATAGGTTCAATTGCGTCGATTTCTTTGACTTAACCATTTTATGATTGGTGAAAACTACCGCAAAGGGATCGGGATTTCCAATTAGAGGAGGGAAATGTTTCCATGAGTCTTGAACTCGCAAAGGGTATGAATCAATAGCGGCAACAAGACAATACAATGCAAGTCAGTATATTAGCGTTTAGTAGCGAGTCTGCTGTATTTTGTGAAAATTGTTTAAAAGATTATAAAGAATAGTTTTTTTTAATTTTTTATGTTTTTTGTATATTTTTTTTTTACCGAGACAACTGTCTCGGTTACCTCAACATAAGCTATGCGCCAAATGGCAGATGGACAGAACACTCAATTTTAAATACAATGATTCTCTACGACACATATTTTGATTTATGACTGAGTCTGCTGTAATTTTGAAAACTTTAAATTCATCATTCAATAAAATATGCAAACAAATTTAAGGTCAAACGAATCATATACGGCGGAGATGTACTCCTTTCAATTATCCAATAGACATTATGCAGATGACATATTACTTACTGTAACACAAACATGACTATTTTCTTATAATTCAGAAACTGCCCTTATAACACAAACTTATCATGGAATCATGGTCCATGAAGAGATCAAAGTCAGGTGAATTCTTCCAGATGGATAAGTATTCTACAGAATAATTCTAGACCAAATAGAACTGACTCACTTATAATGATTTGGTATTAAGAATGATTGATTCTTGTCTTGAAATCTGAAAATGGTTGATGTACACTTTTTGAGGGAGGGTGGGGAGTCTGAAAAAGTGTATTTTTTGTACACTTTGGAAAATGGTTGACAATTATGGATGAACCCTAACCTGATTTGGTTAATAACAGATTATCGTCAAAAACTGATAAGCCCGGGCCATTCCTGAAACCAAACTTGTGTGGCGGATGTGGTTATTGCACACATTTTGATTTTTAATTTCATACATTTTGGTGCTTAATTTTACCTGTTTTCGCTCGTAATTCTTTAGATCTTTTTGATATAAAATTCCCATGCTTCTTTGTTGACATTTTCCTTTCACTATAGCAGTTAAATATACGAAGTTTTTCATTGGTTATTTGTTAGGGGTAGATTTTCAATTATTATGAATTACACCAAGATTATGCCGGATTTACAAGGTGATTAATAATTTTGTGTGTTGTGTAGAAATTTCTAAATAAAGCATGTCATTTAGTTAAATAAGTTGTTTATGTAAGAAATTTAAGTAGTATTTATATCTTTATAATAGATTTTGATGATATTTTGTAGATTGAAATACGGTTTTATACCGCATATGGAATATATTATGTTTTCCTTCTTATAGTAAATGTGTCTCTTAGTTAATTTGTCGAATACTTTACTGTCTAAAGGTAATAAGACCACCTGGATTTATCAATAATCCGCTATTCCTTTATTACTACTTGGATTTATCATTAATCCGACCATTAAATGAAGTCTCTATTTAAATAAGTCTCTAAAATGTAGACTTTTCACTCTATTGAACAAGTTTCAAGCAATTTTAGGTTTTTAATTTCACTTTAAAACTTTAGGAAACCGTTTAAAATGTAGCTTAATATTTAACTTTCGCTAACTACCACAGTGTGTTCTCGCGGTTGATTATCCGATAGGTCGTGAATGCTGTAGTCCTTGCCAGTACTACCTGTGTTTACTACTAAACATACATTTTGAGATTACTGTTGAATATTTATTCAGATCTATTTTTATACTGTAAACTGTTACATTTGTTTTTACACTTGTTATATTTCACATTGTGATAATAAAATATGTAAAACTGATTGAAATTAGAGTCTCATTGCCAATATCATACGTCTCAGTACAACAAGGAAGAACCAGTCTGATTGCAACATAACACAAAAGTACATCACTTGTCGCATCCGTCGTTCGTCTGTCAGTCTGTCAGTCTGCCGCTGAGTTTGTAGCAATATCAGACATTTTAGTAGTCAGCAGGGTTTGGTGACGTTAAGCTGCCCGACCCTCCTGTTACACTTGATAGACATTCCTTTAGGTTGCCATTTTCCCAAATTGTGTCCGATGGCCCATGAAGGTTGTCAAAATGGCCACATAGCCTCTTAGAATAATTGCCGGGTTGGCACAATTTTTATCAGCACTGATTATCTGTCCTCCTTTCTCCGCTGGTTAACTAAACTTCCCTTTATTTGCGTATCTGTGGAACGGGAAATATTTCTATCAGAAACCCCGAATTTTTGTTAAATTTATACACTATTGTAGTTGCAGAAAATCATTCAAAAGCACTTATCTGGCGTCATATATCATGTCTATGAGCTTGACGATTCACCTGATTCAATTGTGCTGTTTTTTTTTTAAAGAAAACTCTGAATTAAAATTTTGGTGCGTATTACCGGCGGAGCAATAAATTGGTTTTGTGCTGGTTTTATTTGCACAAAAATACCTTATGAATCAAGTGCGCCGTAAAATTCACATTTGAGACGACCCCTTTCATTTTACCTGTCAAAGTCAGTGTCAACAGTCTGTACCGAGACTTTCCGTAAATCTCTACTAAAGAAATAGATATTTGGTTTTGTTATTGCATTAAATGAGCCATACAATAATGTTCAACTTTACAACAAAGGCAAACATAAGAATAAACAAAATATGTGGGGCATAAAAGGTCGCAAGTCGATGACAAAAAAATACTGACAATAATACACAGAATAAATTCCAAAAACGAACACGAAACATCCCCAAATATCAACCAGGGGGTAAGCAATTCCTACTCCATCATATCGTGCTATTCAAGACAATTAAGATGAAGTCAGTGATAATTAGCAGTTGGTGGTACGTAATACAATGTATGTATTAGATACAATACAAAGGTAACAAAGAAACAGGCCGGTAACAAGCGTTGCCGGATAGTTTTTCTGCACGAGTATAGTCAGGAGAAGGTCCGAGGCGATAGCCGAGGACCTTGACCTGACTACAAGTGCAGAAAAACTATACGGCAGTTTGTTTCCGGCCTGTTTTTTGTTACCTTTGTTTGAATCTGACTTGTACGACGTTTCAAGAAAGAAGTAGTAGATTTTGCATTTAGAAGAGGTAGCAGAATTAAACAGATTAGAAACTTAAATGACCATATACAAGTTAATGTAAGTTATAGTTTAAACAAACTTTTTTTTCACTTTCCTTCAGCCGAGAGTTTTTTTCTCTCAAGAAATTCAAAAATATAATAATTTTATAAAAAAGAACCATATCAAGTAAAAGATGAACGTCGTACACATTTGAGTCCTTTTTTATAATGCAACTTAGCAAGAACACGTTCTCATCTAAAATTAGAAATTCTCATATGCCATTTAACTCATTTTTGTGTGAAAAAGCTACATCTTTTGGCATGATTGATATATTTTGCGTTAAAAAGTCACTGTATAGCATTATTTATATTTGTCTGTCATTTTTTGGCAAAATTTTTGGTCTTTTTTTGTTAATGCGAATCCAAAACTTCATCATTTTAGCATTAGCCTTATTCATAGGATGCTAGAATGAACTATTTCAACACCCAAGAAATAGTTGAAGCAATTAAACCTTAAAAAATTACTCATTCTGCATTTTTGTTGTACTTT